TTTAAATTTTTATATTTTTGAGAGGATCTAACTTTGTCACTCAGGCTGGAGTGCAGTGGCATGAACACCACTTACTGCAGCCTTGACCTCCTGGGCTCAGATGATTCTCCCACCTCAGCCTCCTGAGTAGCTGGGACTACAGGCATGCACTACCATGCCTGGCTAATTTTTTATAGAGATGAGGTCTCACAATGTTGCCTAGGCTGGTCTCGAACTCCTGAGCTCAGGTGATCCTCCTGCCTCGGCCTCCCAAAGTGCTGGGATTACAGGCGTAATATGCCACCTTGCCTGGGCGGCCACCCTTTTTTGTGTGTAGAAAACATGATCTCTTAATACTTCTCCATAAACATATTCAAGTTAAAGCCTTGGCAGACCTCCATAGATAAAGGTTATACTGACCTCTCATGATGGCCTTTAGCAGCATATATGTGTTATTTATTTATTTATTTATTGGGAGGGAGTCTTGCTCCATTGCCCAGGCTGGAATACAGTGCTGCTATCTAGGCTCACTTCAACCTCCACCTCCTGGGTTCAAGTGATTCTCCTGCCTCAGCCTCCTGAATAGCTAGGACTGCAGGCACATGCTACAATGCCTGGCTAATTTTTGTATTTTTAGTAGAGACAAGGTTTCATCATGTTGGCCAAGATGGTTTATTTATTTTTTAAGGTATAGGGTCTCACTCTGTCACCCAGGCCGAAGACACTGGCATAATCATAGCTCACTGCAACCTCTATCTCCTAAGCTCAACTGATCCTCCCACTTCAGCCTCCAAAGTATCTAGGACTATAGGGACGCACAACCAGACCCAGCTAATTTTGAATTTATATATTTTTTGTAAAGAGAGAATCTCAGTACATTGCCTAGGCTTGTGTTTTTTTTAATTTTATTTTTCATTTTTTTTTTTTTTTTTTTTTTTTTAATAAAGAGGGTGGTTTCACCATGTTGGTCAGGCTGGTCTTGAACTCCAGACCTCAAGTGATCCACCCGCCTTGGCCTCCCAAGTGCTTGGATTACAGGTGTGAGCCACCACGCCCAGCCTAGGCTTGTGTTTTTATTATAGTACCTGTAAACTGCTTTGTCTCCTATCAGAAGGCAGAACCATGTTTGTTTTTTAAGTGCCTAGGATCTAGCAAACAGCTCAATACATAGTGTTTGTTTAATAAAGATAAAATATTAGTTACAATGTAACTACAAGTAAGCTAAGGAAATATTAGGCTGTATTTTTTTTTTTTTTTTTTTTTTTTTTTTGAGACGGAGTTTCACTCTTGTTACCCAGGCTGGAGTGGAGTGCAATGGCGCGATCTCGGCTCACCGCAACCTCCGCCTCCCGGGTTCAGGCAATTCTCCTGCCTCAGCCTCCTGAGTAGCTGGGATTACAGGCACGTGCCACCATGCCCAGCTAATTTTTTGCACTTTTAGTAGAGACGGGGTTTCACCATGTTGACCAGGATGGTCTTGATCTCTCGACTTCGTGATCCACCCGCCTCGGCCTCCCAAAGTGCTGGGATTACAGGCTTGAGCCAACGCGCCCGGCGCTATTAGGCTGTATTAATGTAGTACTCAGAAGTTTTAGTTCTGGCTACCATAGTTAGAGATAGACACTGGAGAAGTGTAATATCCACCTGGCAGTGTAGAGTCTAGTAATGCTGTGATGACCTTGAGAAGAAAAGACTCCAAGGAGGCATTGTTCCCTTACAATGTCTACAGCGCTAGAGAGGAAGCAGCTAACTACTAATCACACAGCTCCTCCATAAGGCTGGATATCACAACAGTGTTGGTGTCTTCATTAGCAGCTGAGACGTACAGTAACTTATTTGTACTAATAAAAGCTATAGTACTTAAGTTTGCAAAGACTTTACTCCGTCCCCCACCCCGTTTTTTCTTGTTTTGAGATGTTTCACTCTTGTTCCCCAGACTGGAATGCAATGGCACAATCTAGGCTCACTGTAACCTCTACCTTCAAGTGATTCTCCTGCCTCAGGCTCCTGAGTAGCTGGGATTATGGGCACATGCCACCACGCCCAGCAAATTTTGTATTTTTAGTAGAAATGGGGTTTCTCCATGTTAGTGAAGCTGTTCTTAAACTCCTGACCTCTGCTGATATACCTGCCTCAGCCTCCCAAAGCCTGAGCTACAGTGCCTGGCCTGCTTTTTTTCCCACTTAAACTAGAAAGGAGTCAAGTTACTTCTGTAGGCCAGGCGTTGTGCCTCATGTCTGCAGTCCTAGCACTTTTGGAGTCTGAGGTGGGAGGATCGCTTGAGGCCAGGAGTTCTAGACTGATCTCGGTAATACAGGGAGAAACCTGTCTTTACCAAAAATGAAATTAAATAAAAATAGTTGGGTGTGATGATGCGATGGTGCACACCTTTAGTCTTAGCTACTCTCAAGGCTAAGGAGGAATGCTTGAGCCCAAGAGTCTAAGAGTCCGAGGTTACAGTAAGCTGTGATCCAACCACTGAACATTAGCCTGGGCAACAGAACAAGTGCCTGTCTCTTAAACAAACAAACAAACAAAAAGTGACTTCTCTAATGTAACTCCTGCCCACTTATATTCCAATAAATTTTACTGAGATGGGGTAGAGTTACAACAGATAGGAAACTGGGTGTAAGCCACAGTCTACCTTATCTCTGCTTCCTCCTGGTAGAATGTTGAGCATGTAAACATTCTCTCTCCTGCATGGGTGGGGGATGGTGGAATAGAGAGGACTGCCACTGCAGACAATGAGCTCTTTCAAGGTAGGAACCATGGCTTTTCATTTTTTTAAAAAATTGAAGTTTTCTATAGTGTCTGGCAGTTAACAAAAGCTTTAAGAATGAAGAAAGTGAACATTTGGGGATAGATCAATGGGAGAATGAAAGGAAGAGAGGGTGGAAGAAAATGTGACAAAAAATTTAACAAGGTAATGAAGAGAAAAAGCAAGGAGGCTTCTTAAGACAGTAGTCTTACCAACAGTGAATTGGATTCAGTTTTTAAATCAACATGAATAGAAAAGAAACAAAACCAAAACTAAAAACACTGAGCAATTAAAGCTGCTTCAGAGACTGTGGGAAACTGGATAAGACGCGAAGCTGGATAAGACTGTGGGAAACTGGATAAGACTGTGGGAAACTGTCTAAGTTCCTATCCAATTTTTTTTATCTATAATTCAAGGATTTATCTTCCCAACAATGCTTTTAAGTGTAAATGCCATTTAATGACTATTTATTAACTAGAATTACAGTCTACAATAGCACAAAGCAGAAACAAATAAACGGATGTTTCTACTAAAAAAAAAGTTTATGTTGCTTTCTTGAGTTTTCATAGTTTCATGAAGAGATTGGTAAATGGATTTGCAAAATTTAGCTTCAGTTTGTTCCCTTGCAACATGCTCAGTGGTACAGAGCTGAGATACTTTGCTATCATTTCCTTTTTTTTTTTTTTTCATAGGGGCACTATCTCTCCCAGCCTTGGGCATGAAAAGAGATGTTGTCAGAAGATCTTTTTCTTTCAGGTTAGAAGAAATGGTGGAACTTTTCTGGGTTGAATTCTAGCCATAATAAAAACTTAAAGTAATTTAAGATGCTATTTGGGGAGGCGAGGGAGTTTAAGGTTCCCTGGCCCCCATGGGAATCCAGAGAGCTATTTCTGCTTTACAGAGATCCCAAAATCCGGACTTGTAGAAACTCACAAGGCACAGAGATAAAAGCGAAAAAGCCAGACACCAAAAGTTACAACAGTAACCACCACACCATCTGCCCACAAAATACATCAGTAATCAAAGATTTCTTAACTTTTTGCCCTTCAAACAATGCGCAGTCCCCAATACAGTAGGAACTTGATTAAGGCTAGCTGGGACTGTTCCCTGTTTATCTGGTGCAATACTAAGCTCAAAGGCAGAAACTTTTGCTTCCCCTGCAATACCTTCCTTGGAACAAAATATTGCCTAATGCATATCTGATTTCAGAAACAGAAAGGAGAAAATCAGGAGAGTTGGGTAATTAATTTTTGTTGGGATTAAAAATGACATTTTTAGTTTTTTATACTCTTTTCATGAAGGTACTTTTTTTTTTTTTTTTTTTTTTTTTTTTTTTTTTTTTTTTTTTTGCCATTGACATTGGCCCAATGCTATGACATTGCAAAATTGAGAGAATATAGCAAAACACTTGACTTTGCCTACTAACTAGAAGAGTGAAATTGAGTAACAAACTCAAACATTTTATTTAAAATAAGCAGACTTTATGCTGTGGTATGGTTCCCTTTATGTAATGAAATAAGTATTACTCATTGAAAGTATAATAAATATTTGTTGATCTGATTGATGTTACCATAAGCCTCGTTCTCAGTCTAGTGAACGTAAAAATTTTACTGATAATCTAAAAGTATTAATTCCTATACACCAAAAGTTCTGCGTATCACCCCCCTCTTGGAATACACATTCACTTGCATATCTCCCCAGCCGGCTCTTCGCAACAGAGCTTGCTTTGGGGAGAAAATTTCAGGATAATCTCCAGAAGAAAACAATGACAGCGCTCCTGCCGCCGTCGTGGGGCCCAGTAGCAACTTACCGGCTCAAAGCGAAAAGAGACCGCGGGTTGGGAGGGGGGAGGGGGCGAGGGGCGGGAAACTACATCACAGACGCAAGTGAAAACTGCGGCTTCTAGATTCCATCCGAGAAAGGAAGATGAGAATCAAGGTTAGAAAGGAGTGGCGGGGCGCTGTCCCCTGCCTTGCTTTAATTCTCGCGGCCCTCGTAACAAGCCGCGGATCTGCATCACCCGAGCGGGCGTGATGACTCCAGTCCCCATCTCCCCTCTGGAGTCACCCAGAGCAGGGGGTCTTCTCCGATCCCCAGGTGGTAATTAGGGGAGATCACAGCGGGCAGAAACTCCGCCAGAGGAGAAAAGAGCCGGGGGGCGACTGTCCGCCTCAGCGTTCCAGGAAGCCCCTCCGCGTGTCAGTGGGCGGGCACCCAGGCCCGAGGATGCGGGGCGGGGAGGCGGGTACCGGTGCCACTCCCGGCGGCCCTCGCCCGCCCCGCCAGGGGGAGCGTCGGCGCCCGACGGCGGCAGCGGGGCCTGGGCGGGCGGCGCAGGGCGGTGGCTCGGCTCGGCGGCTGCCCTCCCGCGTCCCCACCTCCTCCCCGCCCGCCCCCGGCGCGGCCCTGCCCGCCCCCTCCGCCCCCTCCCGCGGCGCCATGCGCAGACTCAGTTCCTGGAGAAAGATGGCGACAGCCGAGAAGCAGAAACACGACGGGCGGGTGAAGATCGGCCACTACATTCTGGGGGACACGCTGGGGGTCGGCACCTTCGGCAAAGTGAAGGGTGAGAATCCCCGGGATTGGGCTGGGCCCCAGGTGGGGAGCCGCAAGACTTCCGCTGTCCGCACCTCTTCATCCTCCCCCGCCCCCTACGTCCCTCCTCTCTGGGGCTGGGTAGCCCCGGTCCGGGCTCCTGCGGGAGCGCTTCCCGGTTGCTGCGGGGCTGCGGTTCCCTGGCCGGGTGGGGGTTGGGTGGGGACCAGTCGCCATGGCGACGGCGCCGCGGCCGGAGGGGCCAGTAGTTGCGAGGGGCGGGGTTGCGGAGGTGCAAACTTTCGCAGGTGGGGCAGGCGGGCGGCGACGCGCGCTCTGGGTTTTGGGAGGGGGCGTCGGGCGCGATCCTCGGGGAGGCGACCGACTGCGCGCCCGGGTTGTGCTCCCGTGGCTCAGGGCCAGCCCATCGCTCCTTGGCGGTCCTCGGCGTTGTCCGTGTTTCCGTCGTCTGTAGGAGGCTGTCGATTACCAGCCCCCGCTGTGGCCCGAGTGTGAAATGTGTTTCCGCAAAAATAAGGTTGCTTTTTGCGTAGCCTACATCATTTTCTTTTTAAAGGCCATCTCGTCGGAAAGGATCACTGGTTTTCTTCGGAGCAGTTAATGAATATAAACTGGTTCAGTATTTGCGATACATGGTTTACATTCTGAGTGAGACTTTCTTTGCCTTTAGTGTTTCTGAATTATCAGGAGTTTCTCTGTGCGAAACTTGGTTGTTAGTGCAGATGTTGATCTGCGCTATCTGCAGATGAGTGAATACTATGTGCACCTCCAGATAGTATTCATTACTTTACTAATACATTTTGCTTCCACTAATTTTCAAAGGATATTTGCATTTTAATAAACGATTTAAGTGCGTATCATTTGAACTTGTGTTTAAAGAAAGATGTACTGGGTGCATTGTACACCATTCGGGTGATGGGTACACTAAAATCCCAGACTTCATCACTATGCAGTTCATCTATGCAACCAAAAGCCACTTGGACCCCTAAAGCTATTGAAATTAAGTGAAAGAAAAGTGTGGACTCTTTCAAAAACAATATTCTGGAAGTAAGCTTGCTCTACAGTCCACCAATTTTTTTTTTTTTTTTTTTTTTTTTTTTTTTTTTTGAGACGGAGTTTCGCTCTTATCCAGGCTGGAGTTCAATGGCGCGATCTCGGCTCACCGCAACCTCCGCCTCCTGGGTTCAGGCAATTCTCCTGCCTCAGCCTCCTGAGTAGCTGGGATTACAGGCACGCGCCGCCATGCCCAGCTAATTTTTTTGTATTTTTAATAGAGACGGGGTTTCACCATGTTGACCAGGATGGTCTCGATCTCTTGACCTCGTGATCCACCCACCTCGGCCTCCCAAAGTGCTGGGGTTACAGGCTGGAGCCACCGTGCCCGGCCTACAGTCCACCAATTATGGCAAAAAACGTTTAATTGCAAGCTTTGCGAGGTATGACTCTTTTTCCCTTTAAAATATTTGACTTATTTATAAGGGATGTAGAGAAAGGAAGTTTGGAACTGATAAAAATGCTTCATGCATTGGCTTTGGATAAATAAGAGACTGATTTGCATATACTAAGTTCTTGGTAAATATTTGACTTGAAAGAAAAAAAGTTTGTGAAAGTCTGTATGGTAACTTAACCGAGACTTGCTCTCCCAGAGCTAAATAAACATTTTCTGATTTTGTCTAGGGTTGGAAGAGAAGAACCTTTCCTTCTCTTGCCATTTTCTGAGTCATAGAATTGGAAAATTGCTGTATATCCCACAGGGGAGCAACTGCCTGAATCTTCTTATGAAAATCGGCAAGGCCGACAATGTCAGGAGGAAGTGAGAAGCAAAATGCCAGAATCCAGTAATAACAGCTGTTAGGACAGGTCCATATAAGGCCAGTAAGATGTTTTGGTGCCCTAGAAGTTTTATTTTTGGCTGTGATATTTCTTGTTAGCAATTACAAACTGCTTTTTAGTTTACAAGTATTTGTTAAAAAAATGTTCATTTTGCCCCCACCCCTTCCCAGAGTTCGTACTGGATTAGGGTGTTTATTATTTCCCCTTATATAGACTTGAATGAAGCCAGGTCTGGTTTTTCTTTTCCCCCAAGACTGAGTCTTGCTGTGTCACTCAGGCTGGAGTGCCTTGTCGTAGTCTCGATCACTGCAATCTTCACCTCCTGGGTTCAAGCAATTCTCCTGCCTCAGACTCTGGAGTGGCTGGGACTACAGGCCCACACCACCACGCCCAGCTAATTTTTGTATTTTTAGTAGAGATGGGGTTTCATCATGTTGGCCAGGCTGGTCTCGAACTTCTGACCTTGTGATCTTATCCACCGTGGCCTCCCAAAGCGCTGGTATTACAGTTGTGAGCCACTGTGCCCGACCTGATCTATTTTATTTGTTAAGTGGTTTTTAGCATGGCAGGTAGTAAAGCAAGAAGAGATTTTTCATCCTCTCCATTTGATCTGTGATATGGTTGTTACATGAATGTCTCCAGTGACTTTGCCGATTCTTGACCTTCACTTCTCCACCCACATGTACTTCTTTTGGAGTACCATGTTCTGTTAGAGTCATCTAAACTCTCCAAATGTACAGAGGCCAATATTAGTCCAAGGATCATGGGTTTCATAGATATGTTTAGATTTGTTCATAATTGCATTTGTTGATGTTGATCAGAATTTTTAGCCTGTTCATTTTTAAGTTATATAACAGTTGGGATGCTTTTTGCCAAAAGTAATAGAAAACCCAGCTTAACCTAGTAAAGAACTTATCTGTGGTTCTCTCTTCAGAGCAAGGAAGGCCAACAAACCTTTTACGAGTCTTATTGTCTCATCCAGTTCCTCTGGCTAGAAATGCCATGTGCCAATTGGCTTATTGGTGTTCCTAAGCAGGAATTAGCAAGGTGGATGGCATTACCCTTGAAAGAATATGACCTACCCTTTGATGTGTCAGTGGGTGGGAGACATCTTTTTTTAAATTTTATTTTTAAAAATTTTCTGTAAGTGATTGGGGTACAGCTGGTATTTGGTTACTTGAGTAAGTTCTTTAGTGGCGATTTGTGAGATTTTGGTGCACCCATCACCTGAGCAATATACATTGCTCCATATTTGTAGTCTTTTATCCCTCGCTCCCCTCCTTCTCTTCCCCGCAAGTCTCCAAAGTCCATTGTATCATTCTTACGTCTTTGTGACCTCATTGCTTAGTTCCCACTTATCAGTGATGAGAACATACGATGTTGGTTTTCCATTCCCGGGTTACTTCACTTAGAATAATAGTCTCCAGTCTTACCCAGGTCACTCACTGCAAATGCTGTTAATTCATTCCTTTTTATGGCTGCATAGTATTCAGTTGTGCGTCTATATACCACAATTTCTTTATCCATACATTGATTGATGGGCATTTGGGTTGGTTCTATGATTTTGCAGTTATGAATTGTACTGCTATAAATACGCATGTGTATATTTGAAAGATACTTAATCTTTTTCAAATAACGACTTCTTTTCCCCTGGGTAGATACCCAGTAGTGGGATTACTGGATCAAATGGTAGTTCTACTTTTAGTTCTTTAAGGAATCTCCACACTGTTTTCTATAGTGGCTGTACTAGTTGACATTCCCACCAGCAGTGTAGAAGTGTTCCCTGTTCACCCTTTTCATCAAATGGTGCTGGGATAATTGGCTAGCCACATGTAGGAGAATGAAACTGGATCCTCATCTCTCACCTTATACAAAAATCTGCTCAAGATGGATTTAAGACTTAAACCTAAGAGCTGAAACTATAAAAATGCTAGATGATAACACTGGAAAAGCCCTTCTAGACATGGGCTTAGGCAAGGATTTCATGACTAAGAACCCAAAAGCAAATGTAGCAGCAACAAAAATTAATATCCCGGACCTAATTAAACTAAAGAGCTTTTGCATTGCAAAAGGAACAGTTAGCATAGTAGACAGACAACCCACAGAGTGGGAGAAAATCTTCCTTATCAGTATATCTGAAAAAGGATTAATATCCAGTATCTACAACTAACTCAAACAAATCAGTAAGAAAAAAACAGTGCCATCAAAAAGTGGGCTAAGGACATGAATAGACAGTTCTGAAAAGAAGATATACAAATGACTAACAAACATGCAAAATGCTCTGCATCATTAGTGATCAGGGAAATGCAAATCAAAACCTCAGTGCGATACTACCTCACTCCTGCAAGAATGGCTATAATAAAAAAAATTAAAAAAGCAGTAGATGTTAGTGTGGATGCGGTGAACAGGGACGACTTTTTTTTTGAGACAGAATTTCGTTTTGTCCCCAGGCTGTAGTGCAATGATGCCATCTCAGCTCACTGCAACCTCTGCCTCCTGGGTTCAAGTGATTCTCCTGCTTCAGCCTCCCTAGTAGCTGCGATTACAGACATGTGCCACCATGTCCTGCTAATTTTTGTATTTTTAGTAGAGATGGAGTTTCACCATGTTGGCCAGGCTGGTCATGAACTCCTGACCTTAGGTAATCTACCCACCTCAGCCTCCCAAAGTGCTGCGATTACAGGCGTGAGCCACCATGCCTGGCCGGGAGACATCTTCTAAGTATTTGCATAGTGTAGGGGGACAGGATAGATACCTACACATAAATGGGTATTGTTAGGAGAAAGGGGGACATGGGTACTCAATGAACAGGCAGAAATGGCCACTACAGTGATGATCATCAGTTGATAACAAACACAAACAGCCTTAATTATGCAAGAATTCTTGAAAATAATAGGGTTAGTCATATATTTAGACAATTTGGATTAAAGCGTTTAAAATTAGTTATACATATTTGTAAATTTTACATGAAAAGGGATCTAATAAAAGATATGATATTGATATGCAGAAAAAGTCCCAGTATGATATTCCATGCTTACAGACAATTTAATTTTGCAGGGAGAGTAGGCTGGAATTCCAGAGTGATTGTTTCCTGTTACAGGCTAAAAAATTTGTTGTTACTCAGTGGTAGCATTTTGAGAGGAAAGTTTACAGAAAACTAGGATTATTTTGTGATTA